CTGGGACCACAGGCGCCGGCCACAACGCCTGGCCATTTTTTGGTTGCAGCCATCATTGTTGTTTGGCGGGCCCAGGCTGGATTCAAACCCGCCACCTTAGGTGTATGTGGCTGGCACCTTAGCCAGTTGAGCCACAGACGCCAAGCCCAGTTTTTCATTTTTAATAGAGATGGGGTCAGGCAGTGGGCACCTGTGGTCCCAGCTACTTTGGAGGCTGAGGCAAGAAAATCTCCTAAACCCAGGAGTTGGAGGTTGTTGTGAGCTATGACACAATAGCACTCTACCGAGGGTGACAAACTGAGACTCTGTCTCTAAAAAAAAAAAATTGGCTCAGCGCCTGTGGCTCAAGCAGGTAAGGCACCAGCCACATACACCTGAGCTGATGGGTTCAAATCTAGCCCAGGTCCGCCAAACAATGATGGCTACAACAAAAAATAGCTGAGCATTGTGGTGGGTGCCTGTAGTCCCAGATACTTGGGAAGTGGAGGCAAAAGAATAGCTTGAGCATAGGAGTTAGAGGTTGCTCCAAGCTGTGATGCCACAGCACTCTACCCAGGACGACAGCTTGAGGCTCTGTCTCAAAAAAAAAAGTGAAAAAATGAAGCAAGAAGATCTCCTGAGCCCAAGAGTTTGAGATTGCTGTGAGTTATGATGCCATGGCCCTCAACCAAGGGCAACAATGTGACATTCTGCCTCAAAACAACAACAACAACAAAAAAATCTCTGATGCTAAAAACATTCTTCCTGCTTCCACTGTGACCTTCCCCACCTCCCAGCTGTTACTTGGCAGTAAGTATCTCTATTTGGACTATCTCTTCTGGAAGATGCATCAGCACAGGCAAGTTGTTCCTATGAGAATCCGTGGGCCTTGCTTCTCAGCCCCAAAGCCTGAACACATTCTCCTCTCACCTCATGCTGCTATTCCAGGGGCTAATAGTGAGTCAGCAGCAACAGAGCTGACTGCTCCCACAGGGAAGACGTGCAGAATGGGCCTACGTGGGCCTGCTAATCCATTAAAAAAGAAAACAAAAATCCCACTTTGGTCCTAAAGAAATCATAAGCTCAGATCAAACACAGTCACACCCAGGATGTCTGACTTAAAACCTACCCAGCTAACATCAGCTCTATTCAGGGTCTCTCTCCAATAATATGCCAAGAGACTCACCCATATTTAGCATCTCTAAGGAATTCTAATGCTAAACAGCAAACTCTGTAAGCAGAGGGCTTGTGTCTTAAGTATTCACCACTGCAAGCCCAATACCTGGCACTTGGGCAGGTAGCCAGTCAGTAGATGTCTGAGAAATGAATGAGTGAATGAGTAGTGATTCAGTAATGATGGTGTCCAGCCTCCACGTGCTCACCTTCCCCGGCTGTGCTCATCCTCACTGTTGGAACGATCGCTACTTGAGCTTCTGTGCTTGTGTTTCTTGTGCTTCTTTTTCTTATCTTTCTTTTTCTTCTTCTCCTTTTTTTCCAGACTCATTTGCAACTAGAAAATTCCCAGAACATAATCACACAAGATTCCCGACACCCCTGTCATCCTCCCAAGAGGGGACTGGGTCATACACAAACTGCCTGACTCTATGCCACCAGGGTTATGGAGGTGTCACACATTGTCAAGGGTTCCCTGTCCACAAAGGAGAGGTAGGATATTAACCTCAGTTGTGCACAAACAAACCTTCAACTACTGAACAGAATCCCCAATAGGGCTGGGCACGGTGGCTCACGCCTGTAATCCTAACTCTCTGCAAGGCCAAGGCAGGTGAATTGCCTCAGCTCAAGAGTTCAAGACTAGGCTGAGCAAGAGCTAGATACCATCTCTAAAAAATAGCCGGGCATTGTAGTGGGTGCCTGTAGGCTGAGGCAAGAGAATTGCTTTGATCCCAAGAGTTTGAGGTTGCTGTGAGCTACAATGCCTGGCACGCTACTGAAGGTGACAAAGTGAGTCTCTGTCTCAAAAATAAAATCCCTGAGAGGTGATAGTATGACTTTGCATTTTTAAATGGTTACCAGAACCCCTATCTAGAAGTTTCCATTCTATGTCAAAAGTACTCCAACTCCACTGAAAGTAATCAGGGACTGCAAGGTCAATCTTTAATCTTCCTTACTGACTAAGAAATAATCACATAGTATGTCATGTGAAAGACAAGTGGGTCCTAGAAGCTTTATACCCTGACCAAGGGCATACTCTGATATCTGGAACACACTGCATGATAACAATTTACACAGACATATCCTACATCCTCTTTTTCTAGAAAAATAACATCACATGGTGTTTTTGTCCAGCAAATAGATAAAAGAAGAGATAAGTGTAATTAAGGTTAATAAATTAAGATTATATAAATTCACCAGGAAGGCCACAAGTGGTAGGTAGCTCATACCTATAATCCTAGCACTCTGGGAGGTTGAGGGAGGATCCCCTGAGCTCATGAGTTCAAGACCAGGGCAAGAGGGAGACCCCATCTCTACTAAAACTAGAAAAAAATTAGCCAGGTGCTGTGGTGGGTGCCTGCAGAGCCAGCTACCTGGGAGGGTAAGGCAGGAGGATTGCTTGAACCCAGGAGTCTGAGGTTGCTGTGAGCTAGGCTGACACCACAGCACTCTTGCCTAGGCAACAGAGTAAGACAGTATCTCAGAAAAAAAAAAAATTTTTTTCCTGGGGGGGAATACAAAAATGATTTTTATAAAAAGTTAAGAAACTCATAAGGAGATGGTCTCTAAAAGACAAAAAAACACATTTTTTTAAAGCTTTTGTCTGCAACTCAGGGTCATTCACCCCTTTTATGAATTTCAATTTGTAATATATTATCTTTTTCTTTTCTTTTTTTAAGACAGAGTCTCAATCTGTCACCTGGGTAGAATGCCATGGCATCATAGCTAACAGCAATCTCAACTCGGGCTAATGTCTTCCTCTTGCCTCAGACTCCCGAGTGGCTGGGACTACAGGTGCTGGCCACATCATCTGGCTACTTTTTCTATTTTAAGTAGAGACAGGGTCTCCCTCTTGCTCAGCTGGTCTCAAACTCCTGAGCTCAGGAGATACACCCGCCTCAGCCTCCTAGAGAGATAGGATTACTGCATGAGCCACCATGACCAACCTTGTCACTCCTTCTTGTGTGCAGATCTATGAAGGCCCTTGTTCGTTTCAAAGACAGAGTCTTGCTGTATCACCCAAGCTGGAGTGTAATACCCATAATAGTGTACTATAACCCAAATTCTTGAGCTCATCTCAGCCTCCCAAGGAGCTGAGACTACAGGCATGTACCATGCCTGGCCTAAAACAGAAAAAAAAA